GCAAAGTCACTAACTTCTCAGGGCCTCACTTCACTTATCTGAGGGGTAGCACTAGATGACCTCTGAAGTCATGTTATTTATAATCCTACTATTTTTACATAGAAACAGTGCTATAAATATTGCTTCCATAGAGATAATTTATCCTTCGAAGTGTTATGAACAGTGGTCAGGATCTATGCTTTTCAGTTGAAAGGGACTTTAGAGATCATCTGCTCCAACCCTCTCATTTTATAGATGAGCAAATGGAGACTTTTTTTTTTTGGTGAGACAGTTGAGGGTTAAGTGACTTGCCCAGGGTCACACAGCTAGTAAGTGTCTGGTCTGAGACTGGATTCGAACTCAGCTCCTCCTGACTCCAGGGCTGATGTTCTATCTACTGCGCCACCTAGCTGCCCCAAAATTGAGACCTCTTAAGAGACTCACTTAGGTGAGTTGTTCAGTGAGTACATAACAGGGTTGGCCTATGTTCTTGAAAGCTATAGTTCAACTACGTTATGGTTTAAATGGGCTGGTAAGGGATATCCTGGGAAACCAAATAGCATTTAGAACTTGGATTCTAAGGGAAAAGAGCATTCCACATTTCAAATGACTAAGAAAAGAACAGCAGTCAGTTATCACCTTGGGACTACCTGTACTATTAGAGTATCTCTTCACCATTGCTACCAGTATTTTTGAACAAGGGAGACAGTTACTACGCAATACTTTAGTTTGAAGGTGAGGATGGAGGAGGGGAACTAAGTTACCTGGACAGCATTTTGGTGGGACAATAGCAATTATGACTCTGTAGTGCTGTCTTACTTTCTGTATCGTACAATTATAGGGGATGGGTTCCCATACATTTAGCCAATGAAGTTAGGCAAAATACATTAATACCAACCTATAGGCTATCTTTTCCCCACCTCTGATAAAAATTTTCTGGCCCTAAGTTGGGACACAATTCCAAAAGGAAGTGGCAAATGAGGGTGATTTTTTTGGGCTAAAAGTTACTTAATTTTGTTATCTTGTAAGCCTCTTTTCCTCAAGAGAGCCTAGTTGAGACATTGACACAGATTTTTTTAATGCTTTGAACACTTATCTAAGCATTTCAAAGTGTTTATATAGCACTATGTCCCCAAAGGCCTGGCAAGCTGTGGCCCCCGGGGTCAACAAAGAGTCAGACATGACTGAACAACATGTCCCCAAAGATGTTTGTAATGTAAAGGAGTAAGAATATATAAATGTTATTTTTATATTGAAATCAGATTAAGAGCTACAAGGGTTATTGCCACACCTAGAAAACAAATAACAGTATATACATATGTTTCCTGGCTTCTCTCTTCATCTCTGGTATACATTCTCATCCGTGTGGTTTAGTAATTGAAAAGCATATGTTTTCAATCCAATCTGCATTCCTTAGACTTGAAGAAATGTTCAGCAGTGGAAGAATCCCAGGCTAATCACCCCTGAGATGATTGGTTGCCAGGAGTTAATAACCACAGTGATTGCTCTGTCAATTGCCAGAAGGAATTTAAAGGAAAAGGCTATGCGATGCGCACAAAGATAGATTATGTTTACAGGTTCATAATATTATAGATATGCAGCTGACATGGACCTTAGAGGGTGCTTCCAAGCATTTACTATCCTCCCATCTTTCAGACATCTTGAAAATTAATCTTTCAACAACCTCAAAAGTCCCCTAGAAGACTAGCAGCTTTCCCCATCTTTCTTTTCTTTGGTGCCATTTCTACTTCCCTTTTTAAGGAATGAGATGTTACAGTCTAACTGTGATGGACCTACTCTTATTGATGGAGAAAAGATATTACTATATAAATGTTTACAGGTCTTTTCCAATTTTTTTCTGTTCCTTGTCATCCTTCCAGTTTCATCTTTAAATGCTCTAAGGATAATATGGCTTAGTGCAGTCTTTCACCAATCTCTTTTCTTTTTCTCCATTGTTTCTTACTTGTTTTTTAGGCAATGCTGCTCATAAGCTACTACCACCTCCCACTGTTAAGACTTTCTAAGCAAGATTATATTCTGAACTAGCATTACTCTTCCCAGCCATCCTTCTCTCTCCATTTGGCAAGGAGATCAAGCATTTCTTGGCCAATGTAGTTTCTAGGGTTGTTCCCCTCCTCCATTGTGATTTACATCGTGTTAAACTTCATTAGGAAATGGTAATAGTCTGTGTTGATGTTTGTTCTGTTATTCATTTCCCAATTATTGCCATAAAAAAGTGAATAGAAAAGGAATGTAGCTGAGGAGGGAAAGCCAACTCAAGGTGGACAGTGAAGATGGATTCATGGGAGAAAGATGAAGAAGAGAATTGTTATTACTTTACAAGGGAGATTCAAGAGAGAGATAAAAGGCCCCAAATTCCCACCTTTGGGTCTTCTCCTTTGCACGCATTTATTTAATTAATATTTTTGTATTTGTATCTTCCTTCATATCTCTCCTACAATATTCCCTGAGGGCACAGACTATGTCATTTTTTTCATCTTTGTATTCCTAGAACCTGGCATTAAGCCTTTTCACATGGTGGGTGTGGGTTGAACTGAACTGCAAGTATTGTACGTTCCATCTCTTATCTCTCTGTACTTTGCACCAACTGTTATCTGTGCCTAGAATGCACCTCATTTCTCACCTCCATATCCTAGAATCTTTAGCATTCTTCAAAATTTAACTTAGCATACCTGCTATAGGAAATCTATCCTGACCCTATCCTCCCCTAGATATCAATTCCCTCCTCCAGATTTTTTTTTGGATTGGGCATGATTTCATTTTCCCATACCCAGTGGGGAAATCCCTTTGACCTAGCATATGGCACCTACTCTGAACTTGGAGACTTAGACAGTTGTCTCTATAAGTTGAGTTTTGCATATCAGAGGTATTCAGAGATATCAAAATAAGATATTCCTTAAAATCCTCTGATTACAGCCTACTTCACAAGTACTGAAGTGCTACTTAATTAGGAAAACAAGATACAGTTTTAAAAAATCACTCATGCAGAATTCACTGGTTATATAACTGAAACACATCTTTCAGTAAGCTCTCCCACAAGGGGAGCTGTTACATCCACTTCTCCTTTGACTGTTCCTGCTAGTGATAGATGTGATGGTAGACAAACTTATGCTTTTTGTAAACCTTAAAGCACTATATAAATGCCAGTTATTAATGGAATCCTCTACTACTAGAGACACAGTAGTCAAGCCATACTTCTAATGATTCCAAGAGTAGGACATATCTAGGCAGCTTGGTGGTATAGTAGATTGAGTACTGGACTTAGAGTCAGAAAGCCTTGAGTCCAATCCTGCCTCAGACACCTGGACAAATAACTTTTCTCAGCCTCAGTCTCCTCATCTGTAAAATGGGAAGAATAATAACATGTAATACACAGGGTTGTTATAAGGTTCAAATAAGATAATGTATATAAAATACCTTACAAATGGGAACTGGTTGAACAAATTATGGTATATGAAGATAATGGAATGCTTTTGAACCACAATAAATGACAAAAGGGATAAAGGTGTTGAGAGAAACCCGGGAAGATTGTATGAATTGATGCAGAGTGAAGTGAGCAGAACAAAGAGAATAATTTATATAATAACATTTGTAAAGACGAATAACTTAATAAAAAGACTTAAGCTCTCTGATCAATGACCAACCATGATTCCAGAGGACTTATGATGATCTGTGCTACCACCTCGTGAAAGAAATCAATAATTCAAGACACAGAGCGAGACATGCATTTCTGGACATGGACAATGGTGGAATTTGTTTTGCTTCATTATGCAAATTGTCACAAGAGTTTTGTAAACTAGTGGAGTGGAAAGGAGAGAAAATAGAAGGAAGAGGAAAGGAAAAGCAGGGTCACCAGATGCTACAGGGAGACAATGCTTTGACAAAGCATTTCTGTCTATTTGCTTTCTCATGCAGCAATTGCCTAAAGTCACTAGTCTGAAGAAGCTATTAAAATAGTCAACAAAGGCCAGAGTGTTCACTGAGGCAGTTGAAACATTGCTCTTGGCCCCCAGCTGTAGACAACGATCAGAACCATAGACAGATCTTGGTTTCTCCCAGCCATCACAATGAGCTATTGTAGAGCTAACCTATGGTGGTAAATGATACTAGAAGGCATAAAGATATAATGTACTTATGGTCCTGACAAATATAGTAACTATTTTCCTTTCAACTCCAGAATTCCCACCCCGTTGTTCTTATTGGTGACTACAAGTGGCCTGATATTTCAGGCCAGATTAGCTCCAGCCAGGCCTCACTTTACTCTCCCTTCCTCCTACCATTCCCCATCCTAATGATTACTCAGAGTAAATGCAAATAGTAACTGTTTCTCTTTTGGCCAGCAATCCTGAGGGTCTTCCCCTCCCATTCTGATTTTTTTTTTTAATTGAAGGGGCCATCCCTTGACTCACTTCTTAAAGAGGCCTATTCACTGAATGGGTATTACCTCACTCAAACTGAGACCCTGAAAAGACCTTAGCTTAAAAGGGCCACGGTCTCCCATTGCATCCTGGGCCACCTCCAGTCATCCTGATGACTATCTGGCCCCTGGACCCAGATGGCTCTGGAAGAAAAAGTGAGGCTGGTGACCTTGCACAGTCCTCCCAATTGCGAGTCATGTCATCATCAACACAACACGACAACAACAGCAATAATGATACTCCCCATACACTTTCCAGTTCTGGAACCATAATCGAATCAATACCGCCATTGCTACTGAAAAAGAGTGAGTCAATATACTGCCATTGCTACTGAAAAAAAGTGTGTCAATATACTCCTCTATGGCACTATTCACCATCATCACAACTTGCTTTCCAAACCAAAATACCCTTTACGGAGACTGAATAGGAGGGGGATCTTGGGGCAGTCAATGGGTGGTCTGATTTGCACCCCTTCCCTCCCCATCCCCCTTACCAATATGGTAAATATGGTAGGAAAGTTTGCTGAATGTGTATACCTGGGTTAGATGAAGTTTGCTAAGTGGATAGTTGGCTAATGTGCATTCTTATCCCTAAATAAACATAAGGTTATTTGGGATGGTCAAGAAAATGCTCTTCTAGGCAGGTGAACTGAGCTTTGAAGTCAACTTGAGATTTGAAGGAGTAGAAGTGAGAAAGGAGTACATTCCATCCAAAGAAACAGGAGATGGAGTGCCATGTGTAAAGAATCTTGACAAGGCCAGTTTTGATGAACTGAAGAGTGGGTGAAACGGAGGCTTGTATAATGAGCCTGGAAAGGTAGGATACAGCCAGATTGTGAAGGGCTTCGGATGCCAAACAGAGGAGTTGTAGTTTATCCTGCAGGCATTAGGGAGCTGTTGTGGTCAGACCCCTACTATAGGAATGTCATTTGGGGAGCTGTATGGAGGATGGATTGGAGAGAGGAGAGATGTAAGCAAAGAATCAAATTCAAAGGCTGTTGCATCCAGACATAATAAAGACCTGAACTAGCGGGCTGGTGTAGAAGTGGAGAAGAGGGGACAGATTTGAAAGATGTTGTGGAGCTAACAACCGACTAGATGAATGGCGAAAACAATATTAGTTCCTGTCCTCAGGAAACTTACACGCTACCGAAGGTTGATGGCTTGTATCCAAATAAGTATATTCATGATAATCTGAAGGGCAGCTAAGTGGCATAGTGGATAGGGCTCTGGGCATAGAGTCAGGAAGACACATCTTCATGAGTTCAAATCTGGCCTTAGATACTTACTAGCTATGCGAGCCTGGGCAAGTCACCTGTTTGCCTCAGTTTCCTCATCTATAAAATAAGCTGGAGAAGAAAATGGCAAACCATTCTAGGATGTTTCCAAGAAAACCTCAAATGGGGTCATGGGGAGTCAGACACAACTAAAAAACGATTTAACAACAACAACAAAAGATGGTGAGTAAGAGTGAGGAGTTGAGGATAGCATCAAGGTTGGGAACCTGGGTGACCAAAGGGATGGTGGTAATCCTGACAGAAATAGGGAAATACAGAAGAGGGGTAAGTTTGGGGGAAATAAAGAGGACAGATTTGGGCTTGTTGAGTTTGGGATGCCTCCAAAGACATACATGTCCAACAGGCAGTTGCTGATGCAGGATTAGAACTCAGGAGAGATGGCAGGGCCAGTTAACAGATCTTAGACTTGTGAGGATAGTTGAACCTGTGACAGTTGGTGAGGTCACCAAGAGAGTCTGGAGAGAGAAGAGAACTCAGGACAGAACCTGACACTCACAGTTGAGGGGGATATTATGTGGATGATAAACTAGCATAGGACACTGAGAAGGAGCAGTCAGAGAAAGAGAAACAAGAGAGTGGAATGAAAAGTTAAAGAGGGGAGAGTGTCCAAGGAGAGGGTGGTCAACTATGTCAAATGCTGCTGAGGCTAGAGGAAAAAGGGAGAAGGGAGAAGAGAAGAAGAGGGGAGAGAAGAGAAGAGAGGAGAACAAAAAGGGAAGGAGAAAGAGGAGGGGATAGCAGGAGAGGGGGGATGGGAGAAAAGGGGAGGGGAGAAAAGAGAGGGGAGAAGGGGATTATGTGCTGTGCTAACCGCAGTGGCAAATTGTTTCTCTGGCATGTCACTGGGCTGCTCAATCAATGGGAATAGAGGATGGACTTACGGACATTTGGCTTATGAATACCTCCTTATCATGCTTCTCATGGAATGGGAAGACAAGGCTCCTTTTAAGAAAACTATCATAGATAGGGTCAGAGATTTAGGGCTGAAAGGGAACTTAGAGGTCATCTATTCCAACTTCCTCTTCTTTTGGATAAGGAACTAAAGCCTAGCAGGGGTGGGGAACCTGCAGCCTGAGGCCACATGTGGCCCTCTAGGTCCTCAAGTGTGGCCCTTCGACTGAATCCAAACTTCACAGAACAAATCCCCTTCATAAAAGGATTTGTTCTGTAAAACTTGGACTCAGTCAAAAGGCCACCCCCAAGGACCTAGAAGGCCACATGTGGCCCAAGGCTGCAGATTCCCCACCCCTGGCTAGAGAAATGAAGTTAGTCAACTAGCATCTATTATCTTTGTTGTTGTTCAAGTCATTTCAGTCATATCCTACTCTTTGTGACCCCATTTGGCATTTTCTTGGCAAAGATACCAGGCTGGTTTGACATTTGCTTCTCCAGCTCATTTTACAGATGAGAAAACTGAGGCAAACAAAGTTAAATGACTCACCCAGGGTCAGCCAGTTAATAAGTGTCTGAAGCCAGATTTGAATTCAGGAAGATGAATCTTCCTGATTCTAAGACCACTGCTCTATCCACTGCGTTACCCAGTGCCAGGTGCTGGGATAAATGTTGGGTACCAAAAAAGGGCAAAAACCAAATATAGTTATCCCTTCCACATTACGACTTTCCCCATTGCAGTTTTGATATATTGCAGGTTGGCATAAGAAATTAAATGAGAGTTTTGGAGGAGTTTTGTGGAAGTCACAGATAATAGGCGAAGGTCAGCAGATGACACAGAAAAAGTTTAGAAACTCAGAAATGCATAAAATATTTGTATGGTATTATATAATATCAACATATTTATCTTTTAATACCATAATAATTCAGACTTCTTCTCTGGTACAAAAAGAGGAGCAAAAATTTTTACATGCATTTTCCAGATCCCCAGGACAGCACTGCGCCCCTAATCCCTTTGATGTAGAAGGGATAACTATAGGCCCTGCTCTCAAGAATCTCAAAGTCACTGATGCTGAGTGAAGTGAGCAGAACCAGGAGAATGTTGTACACAGTAACCGCCACATTGTTCAATGACTAACTTTGATAGATTTAGGCCTTCTCAGCAATGCAAGGATCTAAGACATCTCCAAAAATCTCATGATGGAAAATGCTATCCACATCCAGAGAAAGAACTAGGAGTTTGAATGAAGATTGAAGCATACTATTTGCTATTTTTTTCTTCTGTTTTGTTTTGTTTCCTCTTTCTGGTGGTTCCTCCTATTGGTTCTAATTCTTCCTTACAACATGACTAATGTGAAAATAAGTTTAATAGGAATGCATATGTATAGCCTATATCAGATTGTGCACCATCTTGAGGAGGGCGGTTGGGGAGGGGGAGAAAAATTTAAAATTCAAAAGCTTATGGAAGTGATTGTTGATAAATCAAAATAAATTAATAAAAAAAAAAGAATTTCAAAGTCTAATGAGGTGACTTGACAGCAATCACACAAGTAATAAGCAGCAGAGTTGGAACATTAGTCCATTTCCTCTGATTCCAAATCCATCACTCTGTCTACTCTACTATGATATCTCTCTTAGAAAGGCAGGCTGGTGTTGTACCTAGTGTACTGGCCTTGGAATCACTAAGACTTGGGTTCAAATTTTGCCTCAGAAACTAACTAGTTGTATGACCCTGGGCAAATTATTTTAATCTTCTCAGCCTCGGTTTCCTCTTATGCAAAATGAGTAGGTTGGACTACATGACCTTCAAAGTCCTTGCTGCTTTAAATCTATGTGGCTATAAGAAAATCCTCTAGAAATTAAATGAAATAAGAGAGAAAAAACGAAGAAGCAAATGATCATCACTGACTCTTATGGTTGGATGGCTTGCTGGGAGATGCCTGAAGGGGAAGCCTACTTTAACATCATGCACCAGGCAAGGCTTTCATAGTCCACTGCACTGTCCTGATAAGCTGTGGGAAATGAGCAAACAAAATGACATTCTGTGGTCCCTAAAGAAAGAAAGAAGAAGAAAAAACCCTGCCTAAATGTTAAAGAATGATTACTGCCCAAACTAGAAGGTGAAGGAGAAGATAGTGAGTGTCATACAGTGGACCAAAGTGAAAACAGTGGTGCAGTATGGCAGGGCAAACTGTTGAAAATTCCAAGACTTAGTTTCGATTCAAATTCTAGTTCTATCATTCTGTAAGATTCAGGTTTTCTCTATGGCCAAGGTCTCAGCAACCAACATGAAAGAAAACTGTGGCAAGCATCCAGATAAGTCAGGAAAAATTACTTAGGTCGAATAGAGAGTGATAGTGGACTCTCTCAATCAGTCAATCCCATTTAAAATCCTATTTAAAGTAACTAAACAAAATGCTATACCCTGACACCTTTATTGGGTGAGAACAAATCTACCGAATCAATCAATCCGTCAGGGTCATTAAATTAATGTAGGCCCTGTCATAACCAACAGATCTGTTTTATAAAAGCTGCAAGTTAGTTTGAAATTGGGCATTCCAGTGTCTGGCCAGCAAGTTGTGGAAGCAATCCTGGTTGAGTCCTTCATGTGAGTTGACATCAGGCTGAGCATGCTGTGCATTCCCTGAGGCCATTGGCCAGACCCACTGTACACCTGTATTGCATGGATAATTCCCTCAATCCTCTGCTTGGCTTGGGTTGAGGCGACCTGACTGACTCTCTGTGCCTATTTTTTTTTCCCATTAGGGAAGGATTTTAATTAATTAATTGATTAATAACTAGCATGTATATAGCACTTTAAGGTTTGCAAAGCACTTTGCACATTTTTAAAATCATATTTTATTTTTTCCTCAATTACATGTAAAAACTAATTTTTAACATTCTTTTTTCCTTAAGTTTTGAGTTTTGAATTCTACCCCTCCCCACCCTCCCTTTCCCCCTTCTCAGATGGTAAGCAATCTGATATAGGTTATACATGTGCAATCATGTAAAATATTTAAATGTTAGTCATTTTGTGGAAGAAAATTCAAACAAAAGAAAGAAACAGCTAGTATGCTTCAGTCTGTATATAGGTACCATCCGTTTTTTCTCTGGAGGCAGATAGCATTTTTCATCATGAGTCCTTTAGGGTTGTCTTGGATCATTATATTGTTAAGAATAACTAAGTCACTCACAGTTGTTCACCACACCATACCGCTGTTACTATGTGCAATGTTCTCTTGGTTCTATTCACTTCACGCTTCATCGTTTCATGTAAGTCTTCCTAGGTTTTTCTAAAATCATCCTGCTTGTCATTTCTTACATCTGTGCCTGTTTCTTACTTGCAATGGGGTGTAATGGGTATTGGAATTAAAGCAGTACCTCGAAATCAAATGAAAAGCACCTTCCATCACTTGACTGTATTATTGCTGCCAAGCTGGTAGGGGCTTTGAAATCTAATAGCTTCTTTGCCATTGTATTTCACTCCTCCTCTTGACCACTTCTTGCCACATTTAGTACTTTGGGGGCCTTTGCTTGATGATTCACCTTTAGAGACCACTACTTAAAGGGTAACATTATGAGCCTAATCAGGAAAGTCCATCAGTAAGAGCCACCTTGCTCAGGCTCT